ATATATCAGAGTATAATTACATTATATGGAAAACATGATGCGAATGTGCATGTGTACAATCGTGCCTTGTCCTTCGCATAATCTGAAGAAGTACTTGAAAAACATTTATAATCAATTGGGTAAGCACGAGGCTTAGTGAGTTCCACAAATACCACATATTACAATACAGATACATGTATACAAATAATGGCCACGATCTTTTGCCAATCAACCAGTAATATGTGTATCTTAGACTTACAACCCGTCAGTTTCATTTTCAACACGCTATGTGTATCTTAAAAATACGACCCCACTATTTCGTTTTCAATGCGCCAAATGTATCTTTGACTTATGTACCAACCATTTCGTCTTGAACATGCTATGTGTATCTTAGGCTTATGGCCTAGCCATTTCACCTTCAACACTTTATCCTTACTATAACAAATAATTCAAGTACAATAACATTTAGCACATAAAGACTATACTATGGGCTCTACACTATCAGTTCTTATATCCTAATCATCCATGGATATATATTGTAATACATAGTATAGTGGGATAATTCACATGGTCCATTAGTCATATGATTAATAGCTATCCTTCTGACAACCCAACTAGCGGGTAACACGTCTGTATTGTATTATCCTATAGTTTTATAGCTTATTAATATTTATGGCAATGTAGTAAAAGTTATATTCTTCACTAATTCAAAATATACTTTCATGACTATCAAATAAGGATTAGCCAAGCAGAACAGTTGGGAGGCAGGACCATTTCGGCATATAGCTTTTCTGAAATCCAACAACCATGCCAACATGACCATTCTAGACACCTCTCCCGTAAGCAGACCAATAAGAATATTAATTGTAATTTATGACTAATATGGTATTTATAGGTTCCTAATAACAACTTTAAAAACAATTATAAGTTACCCTAAAATCCTAGTAGCATAGCTTAACTTATAAAGATTTCTAGCGAAAAGAGGAAAATCCACATGTAGAATCTTGACCCGAAAGCTCATTTTTTTAGACTCCAAGATACTCCTGAGCCTTGCTAGAGTACTCAAAAAACTCAGAAATATCAGACTCGAGGGAATGGAGGTCTCTAGAGATCTGGAGTAAAAATTGGGGTGGAAAATGAGAAATCCACAAGACCCTATATATACTCGAGGAGGCACACCGTACATACTTACCACGCATGCCGCATGGCGCGCCTATTGGTCGGTGGTTTGGGTGGAACAACTCGTACCACACGTTGAAATTTGGGTGGGCCGCGTTCCACCTTCTACAAGGCACGCACCGTACCCTACGTGCCACTTTTTAGCATTTTTCAAAAATTTGATCCTCTATTTTTGACATTTTTTATATCAACACGCAACTATGGATGAGTACTAGAACTTTTATTTAGTCTTCGTCGTCTAATTCTCACTTAATTTTAGATTTATATTTTTAAAGAGCTTAGACAATGAAAACCTGTATTAAAGTCATAAATATTCCATACGACAACCGATCTCGACTGTCTTTATATTGACGTGTTCATATTCATGCGATCTTGAACTATCATTTGGAGTGTTTTGGCTAACAATTTGATTTCAGTGTCACGCATTGTGATACTGAACTTTGAATAATCATAACTTCCTCATACGAATTCAGATTTTGGCATACTCTATACGCACGCTCTCGTTTTTACGACTAATAGGAACTTCATTTAGATTACTAAGGCTAATAAGAAACCTATCTCTGATTCAACTTTTACAACACGCTTTGCCATATAGGCATTAACGCAAGACTTTGAACAATCATAACTTCTCTATATGAACTAAAATTCAAGAGTTCTACATATCCACAGAAATCGTATTGATGTTTCTTACATGTTTATCATGATAACTTCAGCTAAAAAGTAATATATTTCTACATTAAATTTTATGAACGTTTATATTAAATCCTATTGAAGGATGAAATGGGGTGTTACAATGTGGCTAATGCTTTGAGCATGGTAAGTAGATATCAGGTAAGTCCTGCTTTAGGTCATTGGACGGTAGTGAAAAACATTCTTAACTATTTGCAAAAAAAACATATGAACTTAATTTTTGGTGGAAGAAATGAAATTAAGGTGAATGGTTATAGTGACATAATTTTTCTAATAGATCATGATAATAGTTATCCATAATGTATTGGATCTTACTATTGAATGGTGGAGAGATGACACGGAAGCGTCCAAGCAGCAGTCGATTGATAATTCAACATGTCAATCAGAGTACATTATAGCATGCGAGACAACAAATGAAGCAATGTGGTTGAAGAGTTTTATTGAAGATCTTGGATTTGTTCAATCAATCAAAGAGCCAATGGAGATATTATGAAACAACGAGGGTGCAGTGTCTTTCAACAAATAACCAAAGGATCATGGTAGATCAAGGCACATTGAAAGGAAATACCACTACATCAAACATAAAGTAGAGGAGCACACTTGTGTTGAATTATGTATCATCAGAGGATAATCCTACTGACCCTCTTCCAAAGGGATTAAGCAAGATTAAGGAATTTGATCATGCTAGGTCCATTGGGCTACGAGATGATGTTAGATTCTAGATTTTACTAGTTAGTTGATGTTTTCAAATAATGTAACAACAATAAATTGTAATTGAATGGTGATTGAATAATATAGATTTATTTATGATCAAAGTGTGTCTTACCATTTGTCAATTAATTTATTCTTGTATATCTCTCTGCATGTATTACTTCCAAAATTTTAATTTATTTGAAATGCCACAGTGAGTCATACTTTGGGAGTAGGTATTGATTTAAAACTATCATGAATCGTTTGTAGACTGTCCATAGGGATTTCACATTGCATAGGGATTGTTGCAATATTCATGAGTATGATTCATCTGTGTATCTCAAAGATAGTAGGAGTGTAGTGACCTTTCTAGTTTTTTTATGTTGATGAGATACTCCTTATGGGAAATGATGTTCCAACTTCGCAAGAAGTGAAGTCTTGGCTTGGAAAATGTTCCCCTATGAAGGATTTGTTGGATTAAGGTGTCTAAGGTCCTAACTAAATCGTTATAATGTTGATGTATTAAAGTAAAGTTCTTTTTGGGCTGTACTCATTACCAGGAAATGGCTTGCATTGATTATAAGAGAGAAATAAATGATTTTTTAATATATTATGATTAATATATTAATTAGAAATAGTAATAATTAATCCGAATTAATTTGTAATTAACTATCGGTTAATTAAAATTAATTAAAGGTGTGAGGTTTGAGTTGTAATTGTTCAATACTTGAACACAAGAGAGGATCTAGAACTTCCCTTTGGAGGGGACAATTTTGAGACCATAAGATAGGGTTTCAGGAAACCTCTAACTGATAAAAGGAAACTAAATAATTATTGGATTAAAATATTATTATATTAAATTCAAATCTAGGGTTTCTAGGATTACCAGACAGTTATATAAAGGGGCATACCCCTTGGATTTTCGGCCATCTCCTTATCACAAAGAGAAATCTGAATTTCTCATTCCTCTCCCCTTTCCCATTTCAATACTAGAGTTTCCTTGAGCTTTGGGTGTGACGTAATTAGAGGCTACCATACTTTTGGAGCTACTTTTCCAAGAGATTTCAAAATTTTTTGATTAGCTGAATTCGATTTAAGCAAAGATATGTAATTCTACTCATGATTTTGATTTCATAGTTTTTCTAGTTCTTGTTTCACAGGTATGTTTCTATTAATAGTGAAAAGTCATAGATCCATTTAGGTTGCATGTACCCTTAGGTCTTAAGTGAAATTCTGCATGTACAATTTAATTATAACCTAAAAGTGTAAGTCCCTGAATTCTGATCTATCAAAGTATCAATGCAATTGTTTGATTGAATGCAGAATGTTAATCAAACAAAGATGCGAAACAATCAGTTAGATATATCAAGAACACGTTTCAATAATATGAATGCACACAATTCTATTGAATAATTGTCAAAGTACATTCAATCAAACATCAGCCGTGAATGACTAGTATTCACCAAAAAAACTTTAGCCTTGAATGGCTATACACAGAACATATATATACTAAGCCGATAACCTAAAGCCTATACATAATAAGCTCACCGAGAACACACTAAGTCCACCAAAATTACTAGGCGATTTCGGTCCAAAATCGAGAACAACATAATAAATTCAAAACAAAGCATAAACCACTAAATATAGCCCAAAAATCTCCCCCTTGGTTTATTGCTTTCTGTTCTCTTCAGGATACTCTACAAGATGAACATCTGCTTGGTCAAATGCCCCTGCCCACAGCTTCTTGTCGATAATTGTAGCTACCATTCCAGTGAATGCTTTCGCAGCAGCTTCATTCCCTATGATAATCTGAAAGTTTGATAAAGTGTGGATATCACGTTCTCCAAACTTCAACAAATCTTTGGGATCAACAATACGAAACTGGCTTCTCTTCAGCTTGATCACCACCGTTGCAGTAGCCTCATGATAAACCCATAATTGTATTGTATCCAAAGTGCCTGCAGATAAGCATTTGGGAAGAGGAATCCTTTTGTGTTGCTTTGTGGGTGGCCACATGACATTCACCGTTCTTTTGTTTGTGCGTGGATCAATGACACCCTTGGCCTTCTTAGTAAACGATGAAGCAGTCTTTAAGTCTTCAAAGTTATTTTTCGCTTTACACTCAAGAAAATTCTTAAAAGACCATGCCATGGTATCATTGGTTGGATTGTGGAAAGGTGCGTGGATGAGTTCTAAAAGATCAACTTTTGCCCGGGACATGAAGTCGACTTTCTTCTCATAATATTCAATTCTTCCACTTTTGCACCTCACAAACCACATATTCTTATCAACATCGTATCCCCACATGATGATGCCAGAATGATGACCATATTTGTCTATGAACTTCTTCCCAGTTTCCCTGAAGCGCATTTCAGGGTGATCACCCGAAACATTTTGATCTAAATTCTTCATCAAGAGCATTTTCCCTTTCAGCCGCTCAACCCTAATTTGCTTCTCTCTTTTTATCGAGCAGAAAAAGAAGCAGAAGATAAGAATGTATCAAGGTTAGGATCTGGAGCAGGTCTTGCAGCTCTTTCACTTGAAGATTGTGAAGTTGGATCGGCGAGACCTGAACTAGAGGCAATGATCTTTTCTCCTTCAGCGCTCAAGGGTTGAAATTCATCACCAAACTTCTGAAATAGGCTCTGTTTCAGATCAAAGAATCGAGCAGTTAAACCACCAATATTTGCTTTAAGCTCTGAGATCTTTGAATCTTTATAGGATTTCAATTTCTCAAGCTCGCTGATTTGAATATCATGCTTTCCAATAATCAAATCCTTTTCAGCAAAATTTTGTTCCAGATCAAAGACTCTATTCTGAAGCTGAACTACATCAACAAATTCATATTCAGGCAGCTTGCTTTTGCCTTTGGACATGTCCAGCTCGGGTGTTTCAAATGAGCTTCTTGAAGCTTGAGCTCCTTTCTAAAGGTATGACTTCTTCTTCAACAATTAGGCTTTGAAAATCCTGATCCATAGGAATGGGCTCAAGGATAGGGCTTAGTATGTCTTGAATCATTGGAGAGGTCTTAGTGAATGTGCTTTGTATGTTTTGATCCATAGAACCAGGCTCAATCAGTGTAGATTTCTTTTGAACTGGATCCGTGATAAACACTCCCGACCTTGGATCTCTTCTTTTTCGCTTCATTGGGAGTAAAGCGTAGGCTTAGTCTTCTGGATCACTTTCAGACGGAGGTTCAATAGCGACAAAAACTATATGGGGAGGCTTCCTTATAGTTCACTGAAGTTCTGCTATGAGAGCATCCATCTGTTCAGGTGTTGGTATGGAGGATTGCATCGTTGTGTCACTTTCCCTCTCAGTCACAACCGGTGGTGTGATGGCTGCATCCTTCTTTGGGTTTGAGATACTTTGCTAAATAAAGTCTTCAAACTCTTATTCTGTCATATAATTTTCTTGATCCTCTTGATCTTCTTCATCATCAGATAATTTAATCTCTTCAAAGGCGAATTGACACTTTGGTTTGGGCACCACGTGTTCATCGGCAACCTCAACATTTATTGAACCAACATCAGGAGTGTCTTCAATCTCAGCAAACTTTCCAAATTTAATTAACTCCTTTAATCCTTGATAAGCAACTTTGGCAGACTTTCTCGATTGCTTCATGTGTCCAAAAGTGTTGGGACCCAAAGCTTTCATATCCAATTTATCAGACGTTCTTTAGATTTTGGGATATTTTTCATTAAAGATCATTTGAAGGAACCTTGGTACATCAAAAATAGGTCCTTTTTCTTTCACATGAGGTTGCTCTTCATTTATTCGAAGACGAACTTTAAGAAGTTGTAATCCCAGTCCATAGATAGAGCAAAAATTGCTGAGGTCACAGTCTGACTAATTTCGTCAGAGCCTCCCTTACTTCCAGAAATGCAACTCACGAAGGAGTGTGCCAGGAACCTCCAATAGGGTGGCAGTAGCTTATTGATAGTGGCAGGATAGTTTCCTTTATAACACATTTTGTCTAGAACTACCTTGACACGATTAGCAGAGTACTCAATTGGAAATGCGGATGCATCACAAAATTCGAGTACCTCTCAGACAATTTGTTCATAGATAATCACTTGTGTTCCTTTCACCATAGATTCCACTATACCAGCTCCATTTGCTTCATTTGCTTCAGAGATCCCGCAGTTGTTCAAACCCACCATCATGTATTTGAATTCTTGACGAGAAGTGTCACACCCCCAAACCAGACGGCGGAAACGTCTGGGGGTGGAGGACTTCAATTGTAGTATCACAACACATGCATCATAGTAATCAAAGTACAAACAACCATTGTATTTAAAAAGAATATAAGTATTTACATGTGTTCAATCATTTTATATTGAACCAAAATAGTTATACAAAAGAAGATATGACTCAACATAGCTCCATCTTCTCAAAAAGCTCGGGGAGTACCTGTGTATTATTTCCCTGAGAATACAAGTAGTTTGAAAAGAGAGTATCAACATAAAGTTGAGTGAGTGCATAAGTGTTTATGTTTGAAAGAGTATCTCTGTATCTTGTATATGTAAACTGTTCCAGAAAATCCTATATTTTCTGTTGTATATGAAAAGTAGTTTCATTCCCATAAAACCATTCTCTTTGTATCAATGTTTTGTATTTGTATTCCATTATGAAAACTTGTAACTGAGAGTGTGCCTGGATCCACAAGCTGTTATTGAAAACTGTATTGAACCATTGTAGTTTGTATTCTGTAAACTGGTACTTTGAAGGTGTGCTTTCGTTTAGTTGTTTATACATTAACGTATTGTTAATATCTTTTTAATGAGTTATTATAACAATACTATGACGGATGGCCTGAACCAAACGCTTTGTGGGCGTTTAAACTGTTGATAACAATTGCCACTCATCGGCATGTATGCCTGACTGTAGCTAGCAGCCTGAGTGCGGGGTTGTCAATCCCGATATAGATCTACACACAACTTGTTTCGATCCCCGGGCTGGAGATTCTGGTTATAATGTCACGGCTTTACCTTGGTTGTCTAAAATGAATTAAACAACCTGAATTGAATGTCTCATAAAAAGCATATAAACGTTACATGTATATTAGTTATGAAAAGCCAATCATTTTGAAATAAATGATTGACAGTATGTTCTTGAATTAGTATTCCGAACATGTATTTGATAAGTGTCAACCCTTGATTTGTTCTGAATCAAAACCCTTGTTTCTTGTAAAACAGTGTGTTTTAGTATACTTGAATCATGAATTATTGTTCTATGTATAAATTATACCTATTATAATTTATATGTACGTTCTGAATCGGTATTTAACTATGTTTGCATGTAATCCCTTGCTCAACATGTTACAAAGGTAGTTAAACTGATGAAATAACTTTTATATTTATATACATATACAATTCTATATATAAGTAAAATTTAAACGACACTCGGACAAATAACCGGTACTACAAGCCCACATCCAAACAAGGAAAGGACCCAGAATGAGTTATCAGTCCTAAGCCTTTTAAATCTTATATATATATATATATATAATATATATATATATATATATTATATATATATATATATATATATATATATACAATATGAATTTTGGGGGAAAAATATAAGATTATAAAAGAATTTAATGTTTTGAGTATTTTTGAAGATTTAATGTCGTTTTATCATGATTTGTAATCATGATTTTATAACACAAAGTTCTTGTGTTAAGCTTGTATTCCCCCCCCCCCCCCTAAAACAGTAGAAATTATGAAAATACGAGGGTATGAACTCACTTGTTAGATGGTGATTTGGGCAGCGTTTCGTTTCCCGGAAAGGAGTTTATTTGGCGAGAATATGGCTCAAATCGGGCAGAGTTTCGACTGGAGATAGGTTAACTTCTCAGGAATCTCGGGACTTCGAGGCTTGTTTAGGGTTTGAAATAAGATATCGGGGCTTTAGGGGTTGTATGTGAGCTTATGGAAGTGAAAGGGGTGAATGTGTGTGAAAATTGGTGTGAAAAAGGTGAAAAATCCGGAGGGTCTCGCACCTCTTATATACACCGAAGCCTCGGATCCGAGGCTATGCGAGACTGACGCGTGTCGGACAGGTGGCGAAGGAAGGGGCTCACTTCGGACAGCTGGCTCGCAGGTGGCAGCTTCGGACTGGACCGGACTTCGGTCCAATGGGAAGAGGGCACGGTGCGATGGGGTGTCCGAGGAGTGTCCGAGGGTGGTGTCCGGGGTGTCTCATGTGAAGGTGTCCGAAGGTGAGTGGACCGCGGACTTGGTCGAATCAGAAGGTGCCACGCGAACTTCGGTCCTATCAGCAGTCGACACGTGGAAGCTCGCATGCGAGGATGACGTGTTCGAGGGTCATGCATGCCAAATTGCCCGGTTTTCCATTTTTCTTCATTTTTGTGCCAAAAACTTGCGAAAATCATAACTTTCGCATACCAGCTCCGTTTTTGGCGTTCTTTATATGCACGCATAGGTAAAATTATACTCTACGACTTTCGTTTAGACTTCGTCGGCTTATTTTTACTTTATTTTTAATATTATTATTTTTAACAGACCGGAACAGGAAATTCGTTAAAAATTCATAACATCTTCATCCGACGTCCGTTTTTGTCTGTCTTTTTACCGTTGTACTACTATTGACGAGACCTTAAATTCTCGTTTAGGTTGTGTCGGCTAAAAATCACTCGATCTTTATTTCAAGTTTTTAGCTTTACACTGCTATACTGAAACTTAGAAAAATCGTAACTTCCTCGTACGAAGTCAGATTTTGCCGTTCTTTTGATGAAAGTTCTCGGTTTAACATAAACTACAACTTTCATTTAGATTGTTAAGGCTAAAAAGCCTTTTTATTGAAAATTCAGTTTTTACACTGAACAATGTTTTGCCGGTTTTATCGCGGATCTTCGATTGGTCATAACTTCTTCGTTATAACTAGGATTTTAGTGTTCTTTATGTTTTCGGAAACCTTATTACAATCTCTATCACTTGGTTCATCCCAATAGATATTGTTTAATAATTTATTTTTGAGGGTCAATTATGTAAATATACACAGTATGCTAAAATTTCTCTTTATTATTTTAAAAAGGAAATACAAATTGACCTACATTATTACATAGGTTTGAAATAACGGTTTGTTAGATTATCCCCCCATTAGAGAGAATTTCGTCCCGAAATTAGCATTTCAGATAGACTAGGGAAAAAGATGTGGATATTTCTAGCAAGAATTTTGAAGGGTCCTATGTACCTTGGATTCAATTTGTCACGCTTTCCAAAGCATATCATGCCCTTCCAGGGTGAGACCTTTAACAAGACGCGGTCACCAACCTGGAATTCCAAGGGTTTTCTCCGTTCATCAGCGTAGCTTTTCTGTCTATCTCTGGAAGCTTTAAGTCGCTCCCGAATTTGCACGATTTTATCGGTGGTTTCTCGAATAATTTCCGGACCAGTAAGAGCACTGTCAGGAGTTTGACCTCTAGCTAGCTGTGTGTCACCCACTTCAGCCCAGCACAGAGAGGATCTGCACTTGCAGCCATAGAGGGCTTCGAATGGAGCAGCCTTTATGCTAGTGTGATAACTATTGTTATAAGAGAATTCAACAAGGGGTAAATGAATATCCCATGCTTTTCCAAAGTCTATCATGCAAGCTCGCAACATGTCTTCCAATGTTTGAATCGTTCTCTCACTTTTTCCGTCGGTTTGTGGATGGTAGGCTGTACTCATATCCAGCCTAGTTCCCAAAGATTTTTGTAAAGACTGCCAAAAACGAGAGGTGAATCTACTATCTCGGTCCGAAATAATAGATATTGGTACACCATGCAGTCTAACAATATCCCTGAGGTAAGTTCTGGTTAGTTTCTCCATCTTGTCGGTTTTTTTATTGGCAAGAAGTGTGCGGATTT